TGCCTAAACGTGGACCGATGAAGCCCATCTTCGAACTTGACCTGCCTGCAGACAAAAGACGACTCTATGCAAAATTTTGGCGATCTATCTCAATTCGTTTAGACGCTAGAGTGATTACAACAGACAGACGGACAGACAGACAGACAGACAGACGGACAGACGGACAGACGGACAGACGGACATGCTTAGATCGTCATAGAATTTTACGCTGATCAAGAATATATATACTTTATAGGGTCGGAAATGATTATTTCGATGCGTTACAAACGGAAAAACAAAACTAATATACCCTCCATACTATGGTGGAGGGTATAAAAAGGGGGTTATATAGGGACTACCCCAAAAAGGGGGTACATATTAATAATTTTTTGTAGGGAAATTTGTTACCATATACGACTACAAAATACCAAATTTCAGGGAATTCGGTTGAAAAACGTGCTCAAGAACTTCAAAATAGCGAAAATTTGGGGGTACCCTTATATGGGGCCTACCGGAAAAAGTGGACCTATATTTATAATTTTTAGTGGGGAAATTTGGTACCCTATAAAAACCAAATGTACCAAATTTCAGCGAATTTGGTTGAAAACCGCGCTCAAGATCCTTAAAATACCGAAAATTGGGGGGTACCCTATATGGGGGCTACCCGAAAAAATTGACCTATATTTATAATTTTTCGTATAGAGATTTGCTACCCAATAAGAACTCAAAGTACCGAATTTCAGCGAATTCGGTCGAAAAATGCGATCAAACCCCCCAAAATACCTCAAAATTGGGGGTACCCTTATATGGGGGCTATCCGAAAATATGGACCCATATTTATAATTTTCAGTGGAAAGATTTGCTACCCAATAAGAACTCAATATACCAAATTTGAGCGAATTCAGTTGAAAAACGCGCTCAAGAACCTCAAAATACCGAAAATTGGGGGGTACCCTTATATGGGAGCTATGCCTAAACGTGGACCGATGAAGCCCATCTTCGAACTTGACCTGCCTGCAGACAAAAGACGACTCTATGCAAAATTTTGGCGATCTATCTCAATTCGTTTAGACGCTAGAGTGATTACAACAGACAGACGGACAGACAGACAGACAGACGGACAGACGGACAGACGGACATGCTTAGATCGTCATAGAATTTTACGCTGATCAAGAATATATATACTTTATAGGGTCGGAAATGATTATTTCGATGCGTTACAAACGGAAAAACAAAACTAATATACCCTCCATACTATGGTGGAGGGTATAAAAGGGGGTTATATAGGGACTACCCCAAAAAGGGGGTACATATTAATAATTTTTTTAGGGAAATTTGTTACCATATACGACTACAAAATACCAAATTTCAGGGAATTCGGTTGAAAAACGTGCTCAAGAACTTCAAAATAGCGAAAATTTGGGGGTACCCTTATATGGGGGCTACCGGAAAAAGTGGACCTATATTTATAATTTTTAGTGGGGAAATTTGGTACCCTATAAAAACCAAATGTACCAAATTTCAGCGAATTTGGTTGAAAACCGCGCTCAAGATCCTTAAAATACCGAAAATTGGGGGGTACCCTATATGGGGGCTACCCGAAAAAATTGACCTATATTTATAATTTTTCGTATAGAGATTTGCTACCCAATAAGAACTCAAAGTACCGAATTTCAGCGAATTCGGTCGAAAAATGCGATCAAACCCCCCAAAATACCTCAAAATTGGGGGTACCCTTATATGGGGGCTATCCGAAAATATGGACCCATATTTATAATTTTCAGTGGAAAGATTTGCTACCCAATAAGAACTCAATATACCAAATTTGAGCGAATTCAGTTGAAAAACGCGCTCAAGAACCTCAAAATACCGAAAATTGGGGGGTACCCTTATATGGGAGCTATGCCTAAACGTGGACCGATGAAGCCCATCTTCGAACTTGACCTGCCTGCAGACAAAAGACGACTCTATGCAAAATTTTGGCGATCTATCTCAATTCGTTTAGACGCTAGAGTGATTACAACAGACAGACGGACAGACAGACAGACAGACAGACGGACAGACGGACAGACGGACAGACGGACATGCTTAGATCGTCATAGAATTTTACGCTGATCAAGAATATATATACTTTATAGGGTCGGAAATGATTATTTCGATGCGTTACAAACGGAAAAACAAAACTAATATACCCTCCATACTATGGTGGAGGGTATAAAAATATTAAATTACAGCCAATTCGGTGGAAAAATACGATCAAAACCCCCAAAATACGGAAAATCAGGAGGTACCGTTATATGGGGGCTACCAGAAAAAGTGGACCTATATTCATAATTTTTTGTGGATACATTTGCTACCCAATATAAACTCAATGTATCAAATTTCAGCTTATTCGGTTGAAAAACGCGCTCAAGAACCCCAAAATACCGAAAATTGGGAGGTACTGTTATATGGGAGCTATGCCTAAACGTGGACCGATATATCCCATCTTCGAAAGTGTGTTAGGTTTCGTGGAAATCTGTTCAGATTTAAAACAGCTCCCATATACATTTTCTTCCGATTTATGTAAATAGTACAACAACGAAAGATACCAAATTGAAACACAGGATTACCTATTCGCTTTATATACGCTTGACCCTTGTTGTGGTAGGTACTAGAAGGTGTTTCCATTTCCATTTGTCTAGGATTGGTATGAATATTACGATTTTAAAAATTTGAATGAAATTGGAATTTAGATATTCCGCACGCATCACAAAAAATTTTACATATTTTTATAACATTGACCCTTTAAGGTAGGGTACAAAACAAAAATTGGTTCGAATTGGATAGTCCTGACGGATTATATTATAAAACCAGTGAGCGGAGCAGTATAGTCGGACGGCCATTCGATACCCTACAAAACTACCACGGTACTCTAACTTTTTGCGGATGTTTATTTCGAGCCTGGGTAATATTTCGTGATATATGCACCCTTTTAACCGATTAGAGATCAATAGCACCTCTTCCTTATACTGACATATTTTCCGAATATTCCCGATATTTAATACAGCCCTGCTAATTACTTAACCAGATTCCCTTTGCCCGACTCGAAACAAAAATAAATTTACGGTCCACTTCATCCCAATATTATTATCTGATCATCATCGAAAATTATAGGCGTTGTCCTTGACCATACCGTTGTTAGTGCTATATTTCTGCCCTCTAGTGTGGTAATGGGTTACTAAATAATATTTGAATACGTAAGCACCTGTAAATATTTAGGTGTAACTCCCACATCCGAGTACATACATCACTATAATTTGTATCAATTTAAAGGCCAACCACTCCTCTTGGATATACTATTAACTTCTCAGCTCTATGTCCTTCAGGAGTAAATATATACGCTAAAGAATACAAATTTTGTAATTTTTCACCCAATGTCAGGGCCCATTTGACCCGCTAAATACTGACCGATCTTTATCAAAACAAGCATGCTTATTCTATGGCCCAATCCCCTTCTCCATGCAAAAATTCGGTGTTTGGGCCATAATTGCGGCTTGTGGAGCGACCAGAAAAACCGACAAAAATAAAGTTTTTGGTCCATTTCATTCCCTAAATATTAACCGATCTTTACCAAAAACAATTGGGGTCTTCATTGGCCAGAACCCATCCTACATGCAAAATTTCGTGAACTGTGGCTGTATCGTGTTAACAAATTGTAATGGGCAGGCGGACGGACACACATGTCTAGTTCGACTCAGCTAGTCGAGGTATGACGATCGGTATACTTAAAGGTGGGTCTAGGACCAATATTTCGCGGCGTTACAAACTCTTGGGGCTGCACAAAGCTATAATACCCTGACAACATAGTTGTGTAGGGTATAATCAATTATCAGGAAAAAATTCGTAATTACGGGAACATAAAGTACTAAATGGTACCAAATATTTTACAAAATTTCAGACCTATCCGTGTCTGAAATCGTAAAATTTGGAATGAAAACTAGTGATGGAATGTAGGATTGAGACATGGAGGTAGTTTTGAAAATTCGTAATTATGTGTTCTAAATTTGGTACAATTTGGAAATAAAATTATTGTTAGAGTTCAGAATTGAATTCATGTTGGAAATACCGAATTATAATTACGATTGGTACTAATTGATACTATTTGGATCTATGTGGAAGGATAGATTTATGACTAAACTCACTGCTGGGGTGTAGAATTAAGAGAATATTGGCAAATCATTCTCACTTCTACGAAAAGCAATTAAAAAAATGTTGGTACAATTTTGATGTTGGTGAATGGTTAGAGCTGGAATCCTTAAATGTGGACTTAAGATTATTATTGGACTGAGGTAGGTTTGCAAATTCGTACAAAAGTACTAAATTTCGTACAATTTGGACATTGGCGAAATTAAGATTACTGTTAAAGTGTAGGATTGAGGATCTTATTTATGAATATGAACAGTACTAAACGTGAGTTCGAAAAGTGTTGAATTTACTATGGAGCCAGTGGGTATTTGATAAAATACGAGTATATATAATGGAAATAAGAAAGAGATTTCGGAAAATTTTGCTAATGTGTACGAACAGTACTAATAGTAATAAACTTTATATTAAATGTAAGAATAGAGGAATCCGGAATTATTTCGTTGTTTATAGTTTATGTGCAAGTTTTTCAAAATAATTTATTTAAATATGACATTAGGTATTAGGGTTGAGCAGAATATCTACCTACCAAATTGTATCATCCGAATTGGCTCTAATTTGATTTTATCTGGTTCTCAAGGGATGTAAAAACATTCCACCGAAAATTATCAGAATCGGTTTACGTTTGGTATGGTCAACATAGGTCTATGTTTTGGCATAGCTCCATATAAGGATATAGTCCCATTGTCAGTATTTAAAATATTTTTGTCCGCATTTTCCTACAGTAGATGTTGCAGTACATTTGAGCGTTAAATCCCATTTTGACTATTTATAATTTTAAATAATGATAAAACTTCCAAATTTTTTTCAATATACTTCCTTTTCTGTCATCGTAGTGCCCGACAAAAGACATTAACTGGTTGATCGTCCGCAACAGCAACGCCTTCTTGTTGAAGAAGCGTGATATCAAGGAATCATTCAGCACTGAGCCCAACAACTTGACCAATGTCAGTTCTTACCGCTACAGTGGCATCGTGCACAAGAAGACCCTCGGTGTTGTACCAGCCGCCGACAAGATGGGATTCACCGTCGTCATGAAGAAGGGCAAATATGCTCAACGTCCCGCCAAGAGCACCGTCAAAGTGACCATGAAGGCTGGTCCCAGAAGGTCTTTGAAGAAGTTTAGAAATCTTTTCACCGACAACAAATACCACAAGGTCTTGACTCAAGCTGCTTTGCGTCGTGCCTCCGCTGTGATGCGCTCCCAAAGGGCTCCTGAAGTCATGAAAGCCAAGAAACCAGAATAAATGTTAGGTTTTTAAAAAACCTTTTTTAAAATATAGACAAACTATTGTCGTTCGGGAAGATTTACGGAACTTTCAATGCAAATTTTAAATTGAGGTTATAAACAATTTATCTATTACTTAATATATTGCCCTTTGATGTAATATTGTCAATTGAACATTTTGAGACTAAGTGTAAACAATGTAACTGCATGTTATTTATACTTTCAATTTTCAAAAAAAAAAAAAAAACAACCATTCTCAACACGCCGCAAATTCGCATAAATATGGACATAACAACGTCCCTTTTTCCAATACTAATAACCGCGTGTAGCACGAAAAGGGCACGCAATGCTATGCAGCAGCAAATAACAACAACAAGAGCAACAGTGTTGGAACAGCGTGTGGTGTTCAAATTGAGTTTTATGTTGTTTTTGTTTTCCTTTTCGTGCCATAGTTCGAAACACCACTAGATTGATATTTTTTATTCGATTGCATTTAAGCGATGGTCTTTTTCGTTATTTATGCGAATGTTGTAGCACATATTAATAAATGTAAAAATATTTTATTGGATTTTAGTTTGTATTGGTTTGATGCAATATTTTTGTTTTTTTTTTTTTTTAACACTTCTCACATTTCATTTCAAATGCATCCGAAAGAGAGAAAATTTAATTAAACAGAGTTTTAAGTTTCTGTATTGCCATCAATATGCAAGAATTTATATTAAATATTTTAAAGTATTTTCACTATAACATTGTAGTAAATAAAGAATAGCCATTGATTGAGATACAGAAATTTTCTATTGGTTTTAGGACTTAACATTTAAAAAATTGTGTTATATATGACTTGGAATCTTACAGACAGAATAATCGGTACAAAAATAAAGGTTTAAAAATTTTATACCCACCACCGTAAGGTGAATAGGGCATATTAAATTTGCCATTTCGTTTGCTTGAAGTTGGAGCCAATTTGTTCGGAATAGGTTCCTAAAGATCTGTACCATTTACATCAAATCGTACTCAAAATAATCGGTACAAAACTAAAGGTTTAAACATTTTATACCCGTCACCATAAGTTGAAGAGGGCATATTAAATTTCTCATTTCGTTTGTTGGAAGTTGGAGCCAATTTGATGGAAAGATCCGTACCATTTACATCAAATCGTACGCAATTCTATCTTTGGAATCCATATCTAAATCTGACTCGATTTCAGCAAAAAAAAAACAAAAATGGACCGATTTCAACGAAACATAGCACGTGTGATTTTAGACGCACCTTTGTAATTTGAGAATTTGGTACACCATTCATATAAAATTACTACAAAAATAGAATAGGAACTACATGTAAATCTTTATGATGAACAAATGTTTGTCCCAGTCAGACAAACATTGGTTTTGTGATACACTAATAAAAATAGTGTATCACAAAACCGGTTTTCTCCGATTTCAATAGGGTTCATCCTTGGGCCAAATAAATGACCTGTGCCAAATCTCATTCAATTCGCAAAAATTGATTGCTTGGTACACCATTTACATCATATCTGACGAACATACATGTGAGATGAAAAACTGCAACCAACTTCAGACTGCTGTAATTTCTAAGCTACTAGTCCAACAGCTGTTAAAATTATTCCAGTGACAGCTCATTATATTGTTTACAATCGTACCAAAACATTTTGGTAAAGGGCCCCATACACTATTCAACATGCCGTACAGCATTTATCATAGTATGTGTTATTTGACACACACAATGCATGACGAAAATCAAAATAGTTTTGATTTTGAAAATGAAAATCTATCAATCTGGTGAATAATATTCATTTGGAAAGTTGTCAGTAAATAATTTTGTGTACAAAAATAATAGAATTGTGTCGGAATAAAAAAACAACTGAATTTACGACTCAAAATGCAATTTTTGGGACAAAAATCGAATTTTTGGAATAGTGATTGAAGAGTTTGCCATACACTAGCCAATCTCACATACACAAAAAGGAGTTCATCGGCATGATTTATAGTGTATGGGGCCTATAAGAATTTTCTAGAAAAAAGTCATTCGTGATGGAATTCAAGCGTCATATTGTGATTTCTTTATATTTGACAGGAAAACCAAAATGGCTATCGTTAGAGCACTAAATGTGAATAAATCTTTTGTGTCTCGTACCATCGCTCGGTACCGTGATACTGGTAGCGTAGCCCGACGTCAAGGAAGTGGACGGAAGAAAACAGCAACATCAACAGAAATGGTTCGAAAAGTAAAGAAGCGACTTGATCGAAACCCGTGTCGCAGTGGCCGAAAAATGGCTCGTGAACTGAACATATCGCAATATTCAATTCTGCAAATAGGTAAAGCCATTGAAATTCCAAAAAGTGCAAGAACTTACACCGCAACAGAAAGAAAATAGGCTCAAAAGAGCTAAAGAGTTGCTTCACTTGGCTGAAAGTAGTGAACTGCCGAATTTGGTTTTCTCCGACGAGAAGACATTCGTTGGGAAGCAGTTTGTATAGAAACAATATGATCGTGTTTACTTGCGAACTAGTCAGGTGAAAATCTGCACCTTCGGTTGGCCACGAGAAATCAACCGCCGGCCATAGAGATGGTGCGGGCCGCCAAAACAGCCGATGATCGCTCGACCGTGGCGTCAGAATAAATACCGAATATTATCGCGAAAATATTCTGTGGGGTGTATTAAAGCCTTGGGCACGCAAACATTTTGGCCACAGACCTTGGACTTTCCACCAGGACTCAGCACCATCGCACTCAGCACACGCCACCCAAGAATGGTTACAAAATGAGGTTGCACGCTTAATTTCAGGCACACAATGACCACCAAAACCTCCGGATACCAATCCTTGTCTGGACTATTGTGTCTGGAGCAAGGTTGGCACAAAAAAGTGTCGATCATCTCAAGCAAGCGCTTAGCCGGGAATGGGCCATAAAACCGCAGAGCAACATTCGGGCAGCATGTGACGGTTCATTGGCCGTTTGAAGGCCATAATTCTTGCTAAAGGCTACCAATTCGAACAAATCTAAATTTTTCTAAAATTTGATGCTATTTTCGATATTTTAAATCGAAAATTAAGTTATAAATTATAAAATAAAAACCAGTGAGCGGAGCAGTATAGTCGGACGGGGCCGACAATATGATACCCTACACAACTTCCACTAAAATCTAAATTTCTGTGGTTCTATGTTCTGCGTTTGGCCGATTAGAGGCCAACAAATATTACTAATATTCAGTACAACCCTTCTAATTAATTTTCCAGTTTCCTTCACAGTGGGTTGTGTTGTGGTGTTCGGCTTATTATTGTGGATCGACTAAAAAATAAATAAACCAGTGAGCGGAGCAGTATAGTCGGACGGGGCCGACCATATTATACCCTACACAACTACCACGAACTCTAACTTTCTGAGGATGTTTATTCCGAGTCTGAGTAATATTTCGTGATATTTGCCCCCTCTTGTCCGATTAGAGGTCAACAAGACCTCTTCCTTACTTTTTTCGAATATTCAATACAGTCCTTCTAATTACTTGTCTAGATTACATTCACGGTGGGTTGTGTTGTGATTTTCGGATTATACTCGACTCGAAAACACACCAAAAATTAAGTTTTCGGTCCATTTCATCCCAAAATTTTAATCTGATCATCACCGAAAATTGTAGGCATTGTTCTTGACCATAACTGGAACTTCATGAAAAATTTCAAAGCCATCAGCGCGATATTTCCCCCTCTAAAGTGGTAATGGGTTACTAAATAATATCTGAATACGTAAGCCCCTGTAAATATTTGACTGTAACTTCCACATCTGAGTAGATACATCACTATATTTGGTATCAATTTAAAGGCCAACCACTCCTCTTGGATATGCTATCAACTCCTCGGGTCTACATCCTCCAGGAGTAAATATATATGCCATAGAATACAAATTTTGTCATTTTTCACACAAAAGTCAGGGTCCATTTGACCCGCTAAATATTGACCGATCTTTATCAAAGCATGCATACTTATTCTCCGGCCTGATCCCCTTCTCCATGCAAAAATTCGCGGTGTTTGGGCCATAATTGCGGCCTCTGGAGCGACCAGAAAAACCGACAAAAATAATGTTTTTGGTCCATTTCATCCCCTAAATATTAACCGATCTTTCCCAAAAACAATAGGGATCTTCATTGGCCAGAACCCATCCTACATGCAAAATTTCGTGAAGATTGGTCCATAACTGTGGCCTGTATCGTGTTTACAAATTATAATGGACAGACGGACGGACGGACACACATGTCTAGATCGACTCAGCTAGTCGAGATATGACGATCGGTATACTTAAAGGTGGGTCTAGGACCAATATTTCGCGGCGTTACAAACATTTGGGGCTGCACAAAGCTATAATACCCTGACAACATAGTTGTGTAGGGTATAAAAATAAAAAAATAAACACTAAAAAAAGTATTCGGTCCACTTCATCCCAAAGTTAGTATCTGATCATCACCGAAAAGTATATGCGTTGTCCTTGACCATACCTTGATCCTCATGGAAAATTTCAAAGCGATCAGAGCTATATTTCCGCCTTCTAGTGTGGTAATGGGTTACTAAATAATATCTCAGTACGTAAGCACATGTAAATATTTAAGTGTAACTCCCACTACTGAGTGCATACGACCATATAAATGGTATCAATTTAAAGGTCAACCACTCCTCTTGGATATGCTATCAACTTCTTAAGTCTTTGTTCTTCAGGGATAAATATATACGCTAAAGAATACAAATTTTGCAATTTTCCACACAAAATTCATCTGACCCGCTAAATATTCACAGATCCTTATCAAAGCAGGCATGCTTATTATAAAACTTCGCGATGTTAGAGCCATAATTGCGACCTCTGGAGCAACCGGAATATCAGACAACAATTAAGTATTTGGGCCATTTCATACCCTAAATATTAACCGATCTTTACCAAAAACAATAGGGGTCTTCATTGACCAGAACCTATCCTACATGCAAAATTTCATGAAGATTGGTCCATAACTGTGGCCTGTATTGTGTTTACAAAATATAATGGACAGACGGACGGAC